ACAAATTGCAGGAACGATAAATATTCATACATATAAACACTACGAAACCTGAAATTGGCCCACAAAAAATCGCATGTTGGCAAATTGAATCACCAAAATAAATGGTAGGATTATATTGTGTGGTTGTCATTCTTTAACATTCCTATGTTAAACTTTCAATATTATGACTTTTCCTTAATACAAATGGCCGTGAGAGGAAAACTGATATTCGGAAACTGGAATCTAGTAATTTATTCTCTAATTTCCCGGATGTGTCACTCAATTCTCTGCGATGATATTGTATTATTGATGGAAATATTTTCTCCTAGATTAAATAAAGTATAGATCATTAATTCATTCTCTTTCCCTCCTCTCCTCCTTTCTCTTTTCGTTTCTACTGTTTTGCTTATCACTACACTACACTACAAACCACACTTTTCTTTTTCTTTATTTTCAATTTTATCTTATTGTTAGGAGACTATCACATTGACTGGGAGACGTACGAAGGTTCAAACTCCGGTTATCGTATTGTCACAACCCGAACGGCAAATTGGGACGTCGCGCGTCGATCCTGCATATCGGTGGGTGGTTACCTGGTGAAGATCGATTCAGAGGAAAAGAACCGCTATGTGACTAAGTTGGCAATTGAAGCTAGCTCAACGGAAATGATGTGGGTCGGACGGTGAAGAAGTAAATGCTTTTAATTGCTTGTTCCATCTAAAAAGTGCTGTGTTTTTCTCAAAAAACGTGGTTCGTACTGCTTCTAAATATCATGGAAAAATTCTGGAATAGAAAGGCGATAGATCTGAAAAAAGAATATCCCTTACTGTAGACAAACTTCCGAAAATTCGTATACATTAAGTAATTTTGAAGAACAGCAAAATTTCACCAAAAAAAAACGTAAAATTAAAGAAAGTTCACAACTGGCCAATATAATTATTTTAAATGCATAGTTGGATTAGTACGTTCGTAGCCAGGGTGTTATACAGCTAAGTAAACAATTAGATATGTATAAAGGAATGAATGTGAGTAGGTACTAATGTACGTAAGGAGGTAGGCAGGTAAGCAGATTTGTACATAGGTAGGAAGATAATTAGTTACTAAGATACCACGATTCGCTTATTCCCATATTTGTAAAATTATTTATAAGTTAAACATTTTAAATTTCTTCGCAGTTAGCACAGGTAATTTTCGTTGGACTGATGGCAAGAGTTTGTCAGGCAGATATTCAATATGGAACCATATAATCTTATGGTCAAAGAGAACTGTGTACACTTTTATGTCCGTGGCAGCCATGCATCTTATTGGAACGATCATCTTTGCAATTATCCGGACGCGAAACCCTTTTATGCTTGTGAAAAGAAAAGGTACCATTGGTAACTGAAGCCAAACACCGTTATAATTTACGATTCTTATTTTGAATAATACAATAATTAAAAGTTTGCAGGAAATTAGCTTTACACCATAAACGCCATCATAGTTTTCATATCGTAATAAAGATTAGTCACGTGTTTTCTTTTGACGTAAGTTTTCCAGTAGATTTTGATTCAAATAATCTGTAAAGAACTTTATTTTTAACTTTGTTTTTATGAGCTTAGTGCTTAGTACCTAGTACTGAGTGTTGCTTTTACTTCTGTAGCTATTATGTAAGTGAAAATAAAGAATACACTGTAGTGCTTGGGATTTGTTTTTGTTTTGTCCAATAAAACTCCGTCCCGAGTACGCTAACTGGTAGACCTTGAGAGGTCTAATGAATTTAGAATAAACCTACTAGAGTGAAGGCATTTAACCTGTGGAAAAAAAAGTTAGTTAACGTGTAATAGTCAAATAGACACAAAAGAAAACAATGGA